ATGGAAACCCAAAAAAACATCGATATTAAGTGTCACTATGCAGCAATCTTAAACACGTTTAGATTCAAACAGATTAGTTTGTGTGATTAACATATCATACCTGAGCATCCAATTGTAGATGGATTCTATTTTCTTGTTTCTCTCTTCATCATCTTAAACCATTTTTTCATATTTTGTTAGGCCATAAGCTTGTCCTTGCAGGAAAATTATGTTCCCTTATTGAGTTTAGATTGTATTCTCTAATGTAACAGTTCTCAGAGGAGAAATTCTGTGTGTTTGAAGTAACTTGGTTTTAATGACATATGTTTGTGTTTGTAACAGTTTTCTACATCTAATGCATCATGAAGAAAGTGTTTGTGTTTCCTTTAACATACTCATTCACCACAATTCATTTTCCTTCTGATCTACTGCAAAGTTTCCGTACCGCTTGGTTTTTGTTAGAAGAAGAATGCTTAGAAGAATGTTCATGTAATTTCATCTCACTAGCTTGGGGATCTTAAAAGCTCTTTTGCCTCTTTGGTTTATGAGATTTGAACAGATACTCATTAGGTAAATAACTTGGCTCTTTTAGCTTCTTCCATGCATGAACCAATTTAAGTTGGTTGTTTCTTCTCATTACCCTGTATTGTGTTTAGGTTTTAGTGATTTTATAATTTATGTTCTTATGTTTCCTTTTTGTTCTGCTTTGATTAGTTATATTTCTTGCTTTGGTGGACTCAGGTTAGAAGAAACAATTACTTTGGCTGAGTCCGGAGTCGTGAGGAATGGTTCTTCTAAATTCTAATTGTAAGTTATCCTATCATAATTCGTTCTCATTCATTATCAAACAAGAAAATCAAACTTCTCTGTAAAGTTTACATTGTTGTGTTGTTCTCCTTCTCTAGAAACATTTTGTCAGTGATTTTGTATGCTCAGTTAAACTTTTATAGCATATTGAAACTTCTTACAGATGAAAATGATAATGTTAGAGGATCCATAAGAGAACCAAAAACTAAAAGGCTTGCAAGGTGATTCCTGCGATGTTAAACCATAAGGATTTTATCTTTTACTGTTGCTAATTTGTTTTTGAGTTTGATTTTATGCATCTATGGCAAGAATGAGTATTAAACTCGTTAACTATGGATTTTTTTGTTAAGGAAATATGTAAAAGGGTGGGTATGATTTGAATATTTCTTTACTGGAACTATAATTTTGGCTTAGTGTGTTCTGAATTATGTCATTATGTGGTTGAAATTATCCTTCTGCTAATGGTGCTTGCTTGCATCAGTTTTACGTGAATCTTTTAAGAGAACTTGCCAACCATATTGCATATCTCTTCTTGATGATTTATTCTTGGATGTTTTGACTATTTTGATAAGATAAACATTCAAGATTTTTCATTATCAGTACTGTGATACTCATTTTGGTTTCTATTTCTTCAATATCATACATAAAATGTATGTTATTATGTTGGTCTTGTGACCCACGACCAAGATGACAAATTTGGTGTCTTCATCATTCGACTAATTATTTTTTCTTACTACTCTTTTTTAACAAAAATTTGCTCATTTCTCTCTTTGTAGCTTGGAGTCTACTGTGTAATAACGTTGTCAAATAACATCCATGCAGTAGCAGAAGGACGGTTCCTCAACCTCTCATTCTCCACCATATGAGTATCTTTAGACAGTACGAATATCTCCAGGTTCTTGAATACACCAGTTATTTTTGTAATTTCTTTTCTTACGTCTTACCGCATATAAACGAATCTAAACGCATATAATTGTTAGATTCGAAAGATGTTGTCAATCGTGATGGTATTGTCGATCTTGATCCGTTCATTAGAGGGAAATAGTTTAGCAAGAGAGTGGGGAAAGTTTGGACGGGTAAATTTAGTGAAGCTCGATCTTGTAAGACACATCAAGAAGGAAGCGAACATTTTGGACGGGTAAATTTAGAGAAGCTCGATTTTGTAAGACACATCAAGAAGGAAGCGAACATTCTTTTATATTGTGAAGTAACCTGAGGCCTAATACTAAAACGGAGAAAGTAAAGCACATTAAACAAAGGTATGGACAAAATCACTAAGATCTTTTAAATTAACTTAATCAAGTAGAAATCAATCTTAAAGTTGGTGGTTTTTGACAATTACTTCATGAAAAGCAAAAAAATTCCATCGTGGGCAAATAAAGATCTACAACTCCCAAGCTTTAGGCTCAGCAACAAGTTTTACCGTGGGCAAACAAAAAAATTCCACCGTGGGCAATAGGCTCAGCAACAATCAAGTTTTACGATACTTCACAGTGCACCCTAATAGAAGTAGAACCTCTATTTTAACATGTGACACTGCTTTTCTTTCTTAGTGTCAATGCAAATGTTTTATTGTTGTAAATTATGAAAAACAACTAATTGAGATATGTTACTCAATGCCAATGAAAATACAATAATGTACTTGCTCAAAACAAGATTGAAGATATGACTAGAAACC